TATCAGCTCAGCTCTGATGAGGAGAAGCCTAAAACTGAACCGGCTGATTTCCGGCTGGTTTTTCCACTCCAGGGTTTCTCTCCGGTGTTCTGGAAAAAGAAAAACTAAACTAAACGCCTATAGGAGGCGCTCCAACACAGTCTTTTTTTTGGTGAAACTTGTGTCTGGTTACAGGATGGACAGGTAAGCTTTGTGTGCAAGCAAATGTAAGCAACTAAAGATGGGATTTAATAGTAAAATAACAAAATACACCACAGAAGCTTAAAACGACTCTACATCCTCTTGGCCATCTGACCATTTTGGTTCTTATTTAGTAGCTGAGTAGATTTAATATGAGTTTATACTACAGAACAACCCTATGAAACTTAAGTGGAATGAGGCAAAACATCATTTTAACTGAAGATGTTAGTTATTGTCGAAGATCCTTAAAGCAAAGACTTTTATGCAAATGAGCCCATGATTAATAAAGCTTACTAATTCCTCTGGTGAAAGAACATATCAACACTTGAATGTCACATTTTCAAAGGAAGAATGAGATTTGTTTCTAACCTTTTTCAGGCTCTAAAATGTTTTTCTTCATGGCCTGATGGGGGCGGTCTTGCCTAGTAACTGTTATGATTAGAGAAGATGTATTCTTTAACTCAGCTTTAAATGACCAGGCCTCATCTTAAAGAAATTGTTGTGTATTGTTTTCTTCTCCCTCCTCTCGGACTCCAGGTTTACTTTTGATCCCAACAGTTTCTAAAAGTAGAACCAGAGGCCTGTACTTTCCACAGAGCCTCTCCATTTTCCAGTTTGGGTTCATGCAGTGGACACACTCCCACCCTCTCTGTTAGGCTTAAGACTTTCCCTTTTCATAAGCGTTCATTGAAGAACGGATCAGGTAAGCTTTTTATCTTTTTGTGCATCTGTCATTGATGTTGTAAAATTGCCTTTTTCCCCTCTGTAATACCTACCTGGTGTTTTTTTTTTCTTCCGAATTTTGTTTTCTGCCCTCCCTGAGTCTAATTCTGCTAGAAGGTTCTTCCTGTTAAGACAAGGATTATTTTCTCCATAACTGCTCTGTGCACACTTGGAATGAGGGACTGGATCAGAGGGAGATTTGTTGGTTTCCTTACACAACCTGCTTAAAAATAGTCTCTGTATGAATTAGACCAGTTCGTTAAATGGGTTATGGTTATGTTAGAATTCATTGGGTTGGAAATGGAAGGAACTAGACTGTCTCTTTCAAGTGCCTTTAAATGAGATTGTTGAGATTTGGCGCTGCATGAATAAAACTGGACTGAATTAAAGCTAAAGTTCTGTTCTTAAATCGTCTCTATCGGCTTAACCCTGTTAGGTGTCACAGAAGGGCGATCCCTGCTCACCCTGGTGGTGCCGCTTGGACATGCCAACAGTCAATCATGCAAACAGGGAAACCTTCTTTATTTTAGCTACATAAGGGAGTCACATGACCACGATAAAATCCTACTATTGGGATCACATTCCAATTCAACACAGAAAAATTGCTCCTCATCGAGTAAGCGGAATTAAGGCAACAGGGCTCAAATCTGCCTTTTTTCAGGGTCTGAGGGCAGCACACTTAAAGTAAAAGTATCTATCCTACTGTTGTTTACATTTGACATGTCAATATAACCCCATACCAGGTGCCTCCAGCACCCTGCAGAGATATTTATGCACCCGTGGCTGGATTAACTCAGTTGGGGCTCTTAGGAAAAAAAAAGAATAAATCCATTCTGAGCCATCTAACTTCACCTACTCTTCTATTGCAGAGGCTGAGCTTCTGGAAATCAAGATAAACAGAATATTAATATATTCTAGTCTCAGCAAATGAAGAATTGAGCAACCACAAATGGCATTTCTCAGGAGCACGCATCCACTAACACATACTTTGTTTTGGACTTGTCCTTGGAATGATTGGCATTGTGTGCTTTATATAAACAGTTTACAGTATAAGAAACAATTTTTGGCCTTTGAGCATAAAAATGGGTCAAAATAAAAAGTCAAATCTGCTTAAATTGTTTAGCTCGACATTTCTGAGTACTCACTACCCACCCTCCCTACCTTTGGGTGAATTCATGACTAAGTAGGGCATGTAGGAAAATGTAAAAAGAAAGAATTTAATCTCAGTACACTCAAGCGAAAGATGGGTTAATATCTGTTTGTTACACAGGAAATGGCAGGCTCTCTGATACTTTTAAGAAGATCAATAAATGGATTCAGGCTTGTTGTTTAGTGTTAATGTAGGTGATGTGTCGTTTCATTTTGTACCGTAACATTTAACATAATCAAAACTTAGTTTTTACTGTTTAAAAAAGAGAACTTATCCTCATGATAAAACCACTAGAACGTGGCTTTAAAAAGATCTGATAGGATAATTTACTACTGGAGTCACACTTTAGGTCGGTGGTGATATTCATGCTCCCCAGCTGACTTCATCAAATTAGAATTGAGGTCTTACATCTCTTTAAACGAAATACATGAGATAAATCTCTCCACCACTGACAGCGTATCCCACACCGTGGACAAGAATGTGACCCAGGACAGAGCCTCCTACTCAAAAAGCGATTTGTTGTTCCTCTGCCACATGACCGAAACGCATGGTGGCAATTTCAAGCCTTTATGGCTCACATTTGAATGCTCAAACTCTCTCCGGCTGGAGGACAGCACACCGCCATCTTCCTCTCTCACATCCGACCACGCCGAACTCATTTCCACTCGGAGTCTTTGAGGGAAAGGACCAGCAGACATGGACAGGTAAATCAAATAACTGGCAAATTTGCAACTTCTGACACTTAGAGATGGGTTCTTACATGTGTGGATGTGTGCTTCCAGGTACAATCTGGCCTGGACGTTGGCGTTTTTTCTCCCGGTTTTCTCGGCTGTTGTGTTGGCTACAGGCCCTCTGACGGATTTGGGTAGGACACCCAGTGACACTTTCCTTTCCGGTGTCTTTGGCTCTGTAACTAACTGCTTTGTATCTTCACATCAGAAAATATCGCAGGGAAGCTAGTTTTCTATCAAATGGAAGGAAACGCCACCTTTGTGAGAGACACCGGAGAGCTGGCCTCCGACGTTCCCACTGAGACCATGTTTGAACTGTTTGATCCCCAAAAGAACTTCAGCACCGCAAAGTTCACCTACACCTGGGACCTCGGCAACGGGTAAAACCATGTGCAGTTTTTTTTTTTTAATGTTCAGAAATAGCTTAGAATACTTTTCACTGTCTGATGTTTTTTTTGTTTTTTTTTAATCTTATCTTAATGTTTTCCACACAGAAAAGTGATCCAGGGGACTGAGCCTGTCGTCCGCTACCTGTACTCAGAGTCAGGGAACTACACGCTGCAGCTGAAATTAGGAGTGAACATGGCCAAATACACCCCCCCCATCACTGGGGTCTACTCGATGGATGTCCAAGTGCTTGGTTTGTTTTTGTTTTTTAAATGAATGGAATAAGCCGGCATTCTAAGTTATTCTTTTGTCAGACACGGTTCAGTTGGTTTTAGTCTTAAAACTACTGTTTCCCTCGAAATATTTGAAATGATCAGTTCTGAAGTTTTCTTTTTTAATGTGGCTGGTCTGAAAGAGTTTCAGTATATCTCATAAAGGTTAGAAAGTTCCCACAAGAATGTCAGAAATAACAGCTGTTTGATAAACAGTGTTTATTACATTTTTCTAAAGTTGCCATCAATTGTTTAAGTACTTGGAGACCCCTTTAGAATATTTTAAATTTCTGCCCAAATGTCAATTATATCTTGAATATAAAATCTTAAGTAAGTAAAGGAAACACAAACATAAAACAGTGAGGAAGAAAATGTGACATTTGAATGACATTGTGGATTTATGTAAGCAAATGATTTATTATTTAATTTGGAGTGGCAAAAATATGTGAAACCTCACAGAAGGAACTGCAACTTGGCTTTTTCAGAAGTTTTGAATAAGTGGTCAAGAACTTCTTTGGGGAATTTTTGTTCTTTTACACAGAATGGCCTGAATGCTGCCTGGCACTAGTAGTTTTCTTTATATCAGCTGTCTGCCTCAGGAGCTTCAAAGCATTTATCAGTGCATTACCCTCACTCTTTTTTAAACTTTTCTTTGGCAGGATTACTGCGTGTCCCACTGTAATCTACTGTAATAAACAGTGGTTTTAGAAAGTTAAGCTCATCTGAGCCTAACGAATCGGCTCTGTATGTGACAGCACTTAAGGAACAAGTTCTGCTAAATTGAATACTGCTCAGAAATGGATTGATTCCTAACTGAAATCTAATTTGCAGATGCCATCAAAAGCATTGAGCTAAAGGGGCCATCGGACTACAAAGTGTCTCAGAACACCAGTTTGGCTTTTCATGTCGATGGAAGGTAAGCTGTGTGCACCATTCAAAACTCACTAAAGAGAGGAAAAGGTTTGAGATCATTTGGTATTTGCACTAAGACAGAGAACTATAAAAGAAATGACTGCTTTATTTGCCACGTGTGTCTAAAGTCCTCCAATGTGGGTGTGCTGGCGTTTCCTCACCAACTGCGTGCCTGACGTGTCGGGGGGGTGCACGCTCACCATGCTTTATGAGAACACCCTGCGGCTAAACCACACCTTCACCTCCGCCGGAGTCCACTGTCTGGACATCAGCGTCCGCAATGACATCAGCAAGCTGCAGACCTCCTTCAGCCTCTACGTCAGGAGTAGCTGTGAGTTAACGGCCTCATTCGCATAGCAATTCTCTTTATTTACTCCCCCTTTAGGAAAGGTAATCTTGGTTTCTATAAGGCCACTAAGACTAATGGCATTCTGTGACTTTCTGGGGGCAGGGAATGTACAGATCAAGGCTTTCAGATTTTTTTGGGGTTGTCTTAAATAAAAAACGCTCAGCCAAAGTTGTGCTGAGTCATGTGGTTTTCCACATCAAATGCACCACGTGCCATCTGGCCACATTAGTTCGTTTCACAGACACGGAGGGAACACAGAAAGACGGCTTTACCCGGCCCTCACATGGCGGCCGTGCTCAATTGATTCGCTGTGGCTGTGATCCGCTGGATGTTGCGGTTCCCGCCGAGGCGGAAAATAAACAACTTTTAATGCTCATTCCTTACTTGCTGAGAGGTAGATGAAGAGTTTGAGTGGTGCCCCTGAGAGCCCGAGGTCCCTTGATCAGAAGCTGAGACAGAGCTGCAGATCAAACAGTTTCTTTCATCATGTCATCCAGGCACTAAATGACAAACAGGCTTTTTTTTTTTACGTGATGCCCGCGAGCTGAGACTGGCTCAGGCCCTGTAACATGTTTCGTCTATGTGTGTTTTCTTGCAGATAACACCCACTTGTTCTTCATGCTGTCGTGCGCCGCCATTCTGGTGGCGACCTTCTCCTTCATCATCGTCATCGCCTGTCGTCCTCGCCACAGCAGCAGGACACAGGTACAGTGTGTGGAGTTGTGCACGTTGCTTTGTCTAACAGCGAACCGTGCGCGTAACTCCCAATGGCAAATTGGATTTCTTTCTTATATTTTGACGTATGAATTTCCGTTGAGCTGGACGGATAATAAGATGGAAGCATGTGTGTACAGGAAGCAGTGATAATATAGAATGTTATCGTCTGGTGGAAAATGGAATTATAAATGGCTTAATAGCGCAGTATGAGCAGGATTCATCAGTTTAGTGATGAAAAAGTACCACAAAAGCAAATATAATTAATGAAAAATGTATGTACCTCATTAATTTGATATATCCTGCTATTGATCAATAGCATTCCTCTGTTGTCAGTGTCTGTTTGTTTGCTAGCAGCGTATATTATGCATGGCCACACCATGAAGCGGCGCATTGTGAACTGACCGATGTTTGCTTGGTAATTGTCACACCGCAGATCGCCACGTCCAGCAACGCCATGTTTCTCAAGGACCAAGACTCTGAGGGCCAGAGCAAAATCCTTTTGAAGTTCTCTGGTGTGGGGAGAGAGGAGAGAGAGCCGCTCATCTCCCAGCATGGGACCCAGTACAGCTCCTAATCATCACGCTGCTCCTCTGGCTGCTCTCTGCCCATGTGCCAACCTTTAAGATTAGTCCGTTTGCATGTCCTCTTGCTTTTTTAGGTGTAAAAATGCACAGCTAAACCGTGCAAAGCTGTCGCTGACCTGTGCCGGGGTCAATCTTTGATGCTTTTGTCACCACTGTTCAGTGAGCCAAGAGGATACTGTCTATCTTTCCTGCGACGGCATCAATTTATTAATGGGTTGCACTGTTCAGGTTGACTTTTGAATAGACTCATGATAAATTCATAGCTCAAGTTCAAGTTATGTTTAAACTATGAGAGTTAATTTATGCAGGCTGTGAATAGACTGAACTGTACATCAATTTCTGTTTTTCAGATTTAATATTGATGTATAAATACGTTGTTTTTGCCTTACATAATAAACAACCTGATATCTTAGTTGGAGTGTCTATTACTACTCAACACCAGAGTGAAGCTTTTCTTCTTTTATCCCCCACAACAAGAAAGGTACACCTTCTGCATCGCCACGTCAGCATCAGTGTCTAAATGTGTTTAACAACAAGAAATTTCGCAAAGTGAGATCTGTGAAAAGGGGATCATGGCTTTGTTAGATGTTATCAGAGGCTGAATATGAAGATCACTCTCTCTTCCCCTGCCTCACCTTTTTTGTACTGCCAGGCTTAGTCTCCTGTGTGGTTGACTGGGGCCTGATTACAGAAGTGTGACTGGGTGTGCAGGTGTGAGGCTGTCAGCTGTTGTTCCATCACCTCTGTGCTCTGTTACATTTCCAGATGCACCTTCCACCCATGGCAAATGATGGGAACACGCTTGTGTTTTCCTGAAGTTTCTAAGGAACATTTGTCATTATCATAGCATCATCTGAATCCTGCCATCCTTGAGTCCAGTTCAGTTGTTTACTCCAAATTAAATATTTCATACCCTGATGAAACTACTGGGATTGTGTATTTGACCATTAATCTTCTATTCCTTTTCTCCTGCTTATGGATTGTGGTGCACGGCAGGAGTGTAAAAACCTCCCAGGTCCAGTTTTCCACCAAAAAAATTGGAATCCACTGCTTGCGATGGCAGTGTCAACATGTAACGGCCTCATGCTCATAGAGCCAGTGCCCTGACCACAGCGTAATTCACCAAAGCAATAGTTCGGGCAGGCCGTAAAGTCATTGGCAGACCTTATCCCTGACACGGCACGCTCTTTTTAAACTTTCCAGGCTGGCCTACCTTGGCCTCTTCCCTGGCAAGCTGCTTTGCTAACCGCCCACATAATCAGTCTGTTCTGTTACTGTATGTTTCTGTGATAAAAAAAAGTAAGCCTTGCTCAGATGTCAGGCCTATCAGAAAAGTAAGAAAAACAACAAAAAACAAAATAAATTTGATTTATTATAGGAGAAATGGTCAAAAGATGCAAAATCTTTGAATCTTACTCAGATGCGTGGATGCCTGTCAATTCATTTCTTGGTTGTTTAAAACCTTTGTGGTGTTAAATATGAGCTTGTTTGTCTGTTAAAGTTGTTGCAGAATTGTTAACTGTGAGCTGAACCCATAGTATCTAAAATAGCTGGGGGAGCTATAGAGGCTAAAAATACCTTCACTTTCATTAAAATCACGTTAGCGTGCACTGATACTCTGATCTGGTTTGGGTCATGCATATTAGTTTTTTCATCAGCTTTCATCCCGTTGCATTTTCTTCCTGTTCTTGTGCCATATAGGAATTTCAGGTATTAATACGGAAATTATCTATCAATTTCAACTATCTCCCTCAGTATATATTTTCCAGGTTTGTCTATTGTGCAATAGTGGATTCTACTAACAGCGCCATCTTGTCAGCCAGTTGTCCTGAATATTTTTCCTCCTTAATCTTTAGTTTACAGTTTTACATATATATTATTGAATAAAGCTAGAATTTCTTTCCTGCCAATCCTCGTGAGTTTGTATTGTAATTCTCAATTTAATGCGGGTTTCCGTGTTTTTGATATTACTAATATCTCAAACCAATTTTTCAAAAGGTGTTTTAGTCTCTATTACCTTCCAAAGCAGTGGGTGGTTGGACTGAGTATTTGAAGAGGTGTTTGACGTCACCTCTGACCTTTTAGCCTCCCTCATCTGTTAAGTATTGCTAATACCACACCTGCTCTTGTTGCTTAACTCCGGCCAGTGGAGTCTACGATCACACTCAGCCGATGTTATTAGCGTGACCAGCTTAACAGATTCTAGAGGAAAGGTGATTTTAAACTGGTAAAGAAGAGCCATTATCCTTAAACAAAGTCTGCCCGATATAGACCAAATGATCTCTGCCAAGTCTTCGTACCAGTACTGGACTCCCACTATGTGATAAAATTGAGGTGTAAACACAGCCAAAAAACACAGGTATATATTCATTTTGCAACAGCCGTTTTCTTTATTTTCTTTTCTTTATTCATACATTAATAAAGCTACGGTAATCATTTCCAGCACATAAAAAAAGCACACCGAATGGCACTTAAGCAATTATAAGAAGGCCACAGAACAAGATTGACCATGCCTCATACATGTACTAAAAGCTTAAAAGAGCTTAAACAGAAAACCATACATAATATCACAGGAAAAGGAAATAGTTTTTGTGATGGGTTTGTTTCATGGGTCGCTCCTCTGTTTGCACTTGATGGGATGCCACACAGATATTTCACAAATCAATAATAAAAACATTTGTATTTTTCAAAAGACTGAATGATTTAAACATTGTGATCTGTAGAAAAAAAGGCCAGAAAATGCATGTTTATGCATTAAAACATATGCATGTGTGCTTTCCCACTAAATCAGCACAATTTCAAATAAATCAGAAGATGCACTAAACACAGTATTGAAACCAACAATTCCTTTAAAATGATCAGATGTGTCAGAATTAGAGAATTTTGGGAGAAGAATTGCCATTTTTTAGACTTAGATCTCACCATACTCATGCAAAACCAGTTCACTTGCCAAGTGTGCAGAAGGTTCTGTTTTTAGTAGTTTAACTGTAAAGAGATGGAGAAATCTTCACAATGGGTTTGTGTCTTCCTTTCCTTCCCTTCCTTTGTTGCTCCTCTTAAGCCATTTTCCCTTTGTTGCCTTCAAACCAACCTGATCTCACTTGGAATATACAGACTGTCCTACTATCCGTAATGCAGTTTTCTCACAATCTATGGTCGTGAACAGTGAGATAGCAACTTATCTTTGGTTGTTGTCTCGGTTGGACTGTGTTCACGCTACATGACATAATCTGCAATAAAACGTATGAGCTGGAACGACTCACTTTAGAGTAATTGTATACAAAATGTAAACCTATTCATGAACATATACTCTACATCTATTGCAACCTCAATTTTTCTCTTAAGAATGATGAGAAACAATGTTGAAGTAGAGGGAAGTTGGTAAAGACAGTAAAGCTTAAAATAGGTGTAGTTAAATGACACATCAATAAGCAGGATGAATTTTGATAGCCGAGCCAAGCTATTGGCTACGAGGGACAAAAAAGAAGCCAATTTTAGTTGAACTTCAAACTAGTTTGGAGGAACAGCATATGATGCATTGTACTTTAAAAAAAACAAAACATCCATAGTCTATTAGACCATTTGTTTACTTTCTCACAATGTTCTCAGTCGAACAATGTGACTCACAATCCACCCAAAACATTCACTGGGAGGCAGTAAAATGAGGGACAATGAAAGCCAACACAACAGTGTGTCATCTTCTGGGGAACTAGGTAGATGTCTGTCTGAACGAGAAGACGGACCAATCGGAGGAATGCAGAGCGGAGAATCAAAATAGAATCATGTCCAGGAGGAAGATACGCAACAAGTCTGACTGCAGCGTAAGCGGTGACGCGGGGAGCGAAACGGAAGCTATTAGGCCGAGAAAACAGTGGCAAGTAAACAACTGTCTACTCCAATACAGACATGTGACGGAAAAAAATCCCATGAAGCCTTTGCTGATCCACACACACACACACGAGCTTCGTCACATATCTCTTCCTCAGAGCAGCAAATATGGGTTCTCGCAGCAGGCTTTGCAAGAGAGCGATACTTAACGGGACGGAAAACACAAACTAACCGAATAAAAGGTACACGGGTGGGTTTTACGCGTTGGGCAGGCGCTCCAGACACATCTCCAGGGGCCGTTTGAAGGCCCCCCTCCCAAAGACCTCCACGTTGGTCGCGAGCCAGGAGATGACGTTTCCGGGTATGTAGGTGCTGCAGTTTGCCATGGACTGGATCTCCACCGGCTTCAGAGTACGGTCCCAAATGTTCACCTGACTCAGCTCGCCCACGAAAGCCTGTCCGGCGTCAAAGCGCCCACCTACCACATCCTGGGAGGGCAGTAAAAACAGCAGGGGGTGAATTTCAAAAATCATCAACAACATCATTCAAAGTAATTATCACTCTGGAGCGGAGGAGGCAGTCAGTGGGACTCAGGAAGCAATTAAACCCAGACTTTCTTACAGAGTGTTATTCCCTTGCCCTGGTCCTTATTGTATGTAACAGAGTTTCTTGTGTATTGACTTTTGGCCTGGCTGTTTGTCTGACTTTTACTTTTACTTTTACTGACTGACTCTGTAGCTTTAGGACTGGTGACCTGGTGTCCAGAGTGTATCCCCCTCCCAGAGATTTCTTAATCAAATTAAATCCTAAAATAAAAATAGAATGCAAGCAACAAAATACAGTCCTTCTGATTACTCACTAATTATAAACCATCCATTTAAGGTTTTTAATTTTAGGTATCTCTAGAAAACTGATATTTAGGGTGAAATGTGGATTTTACCGAGAGCCCATTATTTCCTGATTCAATGACCCACAAATTTCTTTTGACTTGTAAGTCAAAAGAATAATCAATAATCTTAATCCATTAGGAGCCTGTGACGCTCTTTAAGAAACTGAAAGGTGCGATTAAGAACCCTGCCCATTCTTTCTACATTCATTACAATGAGAGTGAACGATCTGACAGACCACCCGGACATCGAACCTGTTGACAAAATAGACGGGTGACTAAACAATCACAACAAATTTAACTCTGTCCCTAATCGTCGTTAAAGAAACCTGAGGGGAATTTACTCCACTGCTTACTGCAGTCTCCCTGACCTGTGACCACACTTGACCCATTAAGACAGGGCACAGCACATGTTTGTATATCCCTCACAGATCCGGGCGGTCGTCTCCTTTTCAATGCGGACGCAACGTGAGGGAACACCATCATGTGAGCTTTATCCATCGTGTTTCAATCTACTCCGGAAACTGAGACACAGAGGTTTTTGCTAGCTGCCAAAATTCGATCAGGCTTGTCAGAGGACCCCTTTGATTCAAGAGATTGAAAATAAAACTGCTTGGGTTTGTTACAATCCTTAACTCATATGCTAGCACTTATAACTTACAATCAATTGAAACTGGATTGGTATTTGTCTTGTAGATCATTTAACTGACATCATTGATATACACGTTGATCTGATGGTAAAATTTAAGCAAACCAAAGGAGTTTCTGTTCGTCTTAATAGGGGCATAACTGCCTGCTCCGAAATGAAATGCAATCCAAGCCCTAGTCATAAAGTTATTTTTAAGTGTGACCAAGGTGGGGGACCATTTATCGACAATTGAAGCACAAAACAATGGACCAACAATGCAATCACCAAAGCCACATGCTGCTTAATGGTTTGACATCCTGCTCCACCATAAGCATGAGTCATGAAATAACTTTCTTTTTTATTTCACACCTTTACCATCAACTATAACCCCAACTATCCATGAAAATAGCAGTGATTCTTGTTGTAAGTGCTCTCTAGAAATGAATAAAAATAAATGTAACATTTTCCCATCCTTTTTTCAAAGTGTAGATCTCAAAGGGGTCAAAAGAAAAAATCAAAAAGGGAGTTACGGAACTTATAAGTAAAAGTAAATTGATTTATACGTGCTGGTCCTGTTTTGTGGAGACTGTGTTGAGTGTTCTGTAGTTAGACATCACACCTGCTGGCTGATTTATTCTTTTTTTCCCCTTTCTTTTCATACCTGCTCCTGTCCCAGGATGACAACTCCACCGGGTTTGATGGGGTGCCAGGCCGCGAGGTTTTCCCCAGCTCCCAGCTTCTCTCCATCCTGGTAGGCCTCCCACTGGCCGTCCCGTGTGGTCCACGAGATGCAGATGTGGTGCCACTTCCCGTCGCGCACCTCCAGGGGCAGCTGAGCCACCTGAGGGTCCAATCACACGGCTCCATTAGGAAACGTACAAATGGCTTTTTTTGCAATCATATTCATCGATCGACCACAACACTCCTGTGGCTTGCCTTATCGTTAATGAGCAGCTCGATTGGATTGTTGCCCCACTCGATCAGCACAATCTCATTGGCTTGGCCCGGTACGCCGTAGGAGAAAGGCGTCCCGATGCCAGGGCTGGCGCTGGACTTAATCCACATGCAGAGTGTGAAGGCGTACATCTCCGGGAGGCTCTTGGTGAAGCGGCCGTACAGGTAGTTGGTCCGCTGCGGAAGGGACAGCTTAAACTGCTCTGGGGATTTGAAATCTCCTCCCCCTGACACAGGAAAAGGTAGAAAAGAAAAATGAGAGGAGATGGGTGCGGACAAGGAACAGCGACCAGCATGTTTTGAACTTGTGAGCTTGAGGGAACAACACCATTAGATCTGTTCTGGTTTCATAAACCCGCAGAGACAGCTACAGGGCCTTCTGATGTAATGTCCATTTCTCCATCAACCCCTGACACCCCTATGATTCAACCTATCAGGGACAGTGCAACCCTTTCAGTGTCCTCTGAAGTTCTCTGGCACGTGCTCGTATAGACTACAACAGTTGAATGTACATTAATAGATACGAGAGTGAGTTTTCCTTGTTTTTTCTTGAGTTTTTCTGTACTGTACTCAACCCTTTTGATGGCTAATCATGATTATTTGTCCTACATTGAAATTCAGTGACCCGATCAACTAAAAAGTGTTTAATCTAGACTCAGTTTCTACAGTTACAGTGACAAATGAATGATGAGGAAATAAGACTTGCGTTCCCATACCTTTCTCCAGCTCACTGATCCTCTCCACCAGTGCGTTCAGGGTGCTCTCCGTCTTCAGCCTGTAGGCCGCCGTGGCGTTGGACAGCATGCTCTTCTCCTCCTCCAGGTTGCTCACCTTCTTCAGGAGCTGCTTTTCCAGCTCCCCCAGCCGACGTTGCAGCAGGTCACGGAGCTCACTGGGGAACGAAGCGCCGGAAATGTTGGCCCGCATTTGCTGTTGCTAGAAAAAGAGGAGCAAGAGATCACGAACAGGAAGTGCACTGAGTTAAGCGGGGGCACTGAGCATCCTGAGGGCTGCGGGTAGTGCCTTACATCACAGTGCAGCTGTGGAAGACTTATCAAAGTGTGTGAATTCACTCCTGATTGTTGTTCTTAAAAATTTTGGTCATTTTTATATAATTTTGAAAGTCACATCATACAGTACAGATGCAAATTTGGCTTAGAAACTATTCAGTTTTCTTAAAGAAGGGGTTTAAAAACTCATCCTGAACTACATCTAGTCACAGATAGCTCTGTAAGACCTTTACTTTAGTAAATATTGTAGAAAGTTCACAGTCTGCCCAAATTTTCAAGCCATTTACGGAATCAAACCACGATTTTACGCACGGCGTTGCGCGCTGTTTGTGCTTTGCGCAGCGGGTGGACCCTTACCTCCAGGTTCTCCAGGCGGTCCTTGAGTCCTTGCATGGTTTTCCCAAGACTGTCGATGGAGTCATTCGGATCTCTGGGGACGTCTCCCATTGTGTTCTGCTTGTCTTTTCCCCACGAGCCCGCTTTGCCGTACTTCCTGTCGGTGGTGGTCGAGGCGCAGAGCGACAGCTTTGTGGTTAACTCGTTGATGGTGCCCAGTTGCTTGGAAATCGTTTCCTTCTGCTGCAAAATTGTTTCTCGAAGTTGCATGACTGTGTTTCTGAGCTCCTCTTCTTGACCCCCGACGTTCAGATCGGGCAATAATGTCACAGGACAACTGGCGTCCCCGGTGATGGGTACCGCCCGGCAGATGTACCGCTTTCCATCGTCCGCCTGGGCGCGTGTTAGTTTCCCACAGCCGAGCGCGCAAAAGCATAACAAGCCGCACCAGAGTGAATACATACCTGTAGCGCTTATCTAAGCGGGCAACCAGAGAAAAGAAACCAACATTAACCTTTTAACCCTCTCCAATTAACTATGGAGTTTAGCGCGTAAAGGTATGCCCGTCAGAAGAATGCAGGTCTATCTATTTCAGCAAAGTGGCGCCATGACCAAGCGGCAAAATAAAGAAAATCCAATCAGGTGCGAGTCTGTCACTCTAAGCCTGTTAATGTTGCTTGTGCTAACAGAACTATTTCTGGCGCAGATAGAGCGCGCAGTGTGGTGCTGAACAGACAGCTCCCCTCGCCAAAGCGGATTACCAAAAAAGGTGTCTGCTCAAGCGCCTTGATTGGTTGTAGTTACATGACGTCACGATTTGATTATTTGCAAAGTTGATCAAAACAGTGAAGACTGACTCGGGTCCACTCCACCCCCTCCATTTTACCCCCCTGACACGCGTTTGTTTTATAAGACATGAATTGAAACTATGATTACTCATAATTTTACGCAGGTCCTAAAAACCTTAACACCCACTAGAGTCTGCAAGTGACTGCTTAATGCTGGTATGAACACGTTTCTAAAGTATAAATCTTGGTAAAGGCATCACTTGGGGCCAGAATGAAGCTGTGAAAAACCTGACATTTTTCTAATGCTGGTGATAGTCTTCAATAGAGCAAGCAGTGAAGTAACAGGATGTGGTGATAAACAATTAGCACAGAAGCCTCCCTTGCTGTAAAAGGTCAATAAAGCCTGGTGTGCAGACTGGAAGACATACCACTGTGCTTTGCTCATGCAGTGTCATGCAGTAAACCAGAAAAACAGTTAGTTTTTTTCTCTTTTAATTTTTAAAGGATTTTTTCCCCCCTAAAATAGGTGACACAACTGAGATGTGGTGTTAGAATAATTAAGGCCAAAGTAAGACGATTAATAACGATTTCTGTATTTCGAAAAATAATTTCATATTAGACTACTTTAGGAAGCCTTTTTTGGCATGTGGTTGCCTGTCTGTGTCCGATATGCAAGGCATTTTAAATATGAAAATCATTGAAAGAGAAACATTTTGGTGCCAAATCTGCTGAGCCACTACATTCAATAAATTATTCAAAAACAAGCTTTTTGAGGGTTTGTGAGAGAAGTAATGATACGTAATAAGAAAAACTGATTAACACATATCTCAGGCTAACTTTTAGCTCTTTGGAGACTTCAGATCATTTTCACAAATATCAGGCAAATTTTGCTAAAAACTTTTTTACATAAAACATTTAATTTCACCAGAAATGCCAAAATTCAACATTTCTTTTCATTTTCGAGTGTCAGTGTGTGACACTGTGCTGCCTAAGCCTGTCATAGTGTCTATAGACTTTCATATAAAAGGGGTGAAAAATGGATGGAGGCAGAATGTGGCAGCACAGGAGCTTCGCTGAAGTCTGTGACAGTGTTTGCCTCCTCTAACTTCATGCAGAATATCTTCCCGTGACATCACACCAATTTTCTGGTCACTGCAGGACACAGACCGAAGCAAGGTGGCAGCATCAGCTTGAGGAAATGGAAAAGCTCGATGGTGATTACGAGGACGGGCAACACTGCCATCATACAGTTGTGAATATTAGTATCAGCCATTTTCACCATGATGGAGCCGTCTGTGGCTCATAGAGAATCCTACAGAGCACAGGCGGGTGTAGAGAGGTGAATAGAGTGCACTGTATTGCTGATGAGTCTGACTCAGTCTAAAAGAAAGAGCAGTTCTTTCTATGGAAAGAATAATTCAAGGGGGGTCTGCAGTCGTCATTGGGGCATCAATAGGAGCGGCACTGCACAGAGAAAACAAATATCTAATGGACAGATGAGTGGTCCTGGAAAGCCACAGTACCAGTGTGTCACCCACTTTGTCCTCTCAGAATAAAACCCCCATCGGAAAAATATATTAATGAAAAATAAACAAACGGGACAGCATAATAAGCCAGCGACAAACACCTTTTAGCAGATTAGTATTACTTAAGTATCAGATAGCAGGAAAGAAAATGAGAAAGCCATATCCTATGTCAAATTATCTCTTACATCATATGTGACATTCACTGAAAGGAAAATCTCATTTGCACTGTTTCTTTTTTTATTTTGCCACTGGGCTCGCTCTATGGAAGGCTGTGAAGTAGAGAGTTGTGAATAAAAACCCATTAGCAAAGCTTGAGGGTAGCAGAAGGGGCATGATGGATTAGATAAAAAAAAGTCCATCTTTCAACCAGGCTTTATTATTTGAAAAGCTATTAAAACAAGCATTCTGAAAAGAAAATTCACGTCCTGTTGCCCTATATCTACTTACAGAAGAGTGTGTGAAAGTAGCTTGATATGGTCACAGTAAAGCTTAGAGATGAACGGAATCATAGGTGATCTGTGGTGATAAATAACAGAGGCTATGCTCACAGAATGGATTTGTGCAAATATAGAAACACATTATGCTGATGACCAGTGAAAACAACAGTCATTATGACTGAAACCAACCTCAGGTCCCGTGGTTGGTTTTTATTATACTTACATAAAGAAGAAAAAAAAAAAGAAAAAGTTACATGATTTGTAAAATATTGTAATATAGGACTGCATTAATGGTGTTTGATTGATCATTTTTAAAACTTGTTAACTTCTGCTGTTGCTTCTTTGTCCAAAAGACAATGATTAGTTGGTAAAGCTAATATATTTTAACATACGGCTCATGTCAAAATGTTGCTTGAGTCTCAATGATGTTCAATTCCTTTATTGGTGCCATATATTTGACTTTTCCTTCCTTACATATTCCACTCAAAACAGCTGAACTAAACATGTAAGAAAATGCTCAGATAATGTAAACATTTGACTTTGAACATTTGCATGACCAGGGTTTACTCAGCTCAAAATGAATCAATTAATCAATTATGCAACAAAAAAGCTGCATTCTTAACAATTTACAACTGCAAAAAGGGTCAGTCCACGGGCGCTCTCTGAGGGGTGCCATCTAGTGGGCATTACAGCCATCACAGATAACTTGATAAAATAGACTTAATCGAAGATATCTCCACTCATCCACAACCTCCTACCGCAGTGGGATAACTGAAAAACATATATTTTCTCATTTTTGTTTCTTGAAATCTATTATTGCAGATACAATTGCCATGTTTTGTACTTACTAAATACTTAATAGACTAAAATAGAACCCTTAGTTTTATTATAATTAGTCTTTAACTGTCTTTAACAGGGTGGTTTAAAACTGAGAGTTACAATGGTATGAATCAATCCCAGTTCACACTATAACAATAAAGTTTCTTGCAAATGTATGGGGAGGGTTGCAAATGCTAATTTCCAATAAAAAGTTGTCAGTGAAAACATTGTAATTAGAATATTCTCTTATTATAAAAAGGAAGGAGCTATATATCCACTGATCAGAGACCTATCAGAGCCCACGTCTCATTCCCTTTCCCTCTCCGTCGAGAGCAATCTAACCGGGTAGATGACCATCGAAAATGATGGTCTTATGATCACCATTTTCATTTTATATCCTTCCGCTCGGACTAGGAGAAAACTCTTGACTAGTTTGATCGTTTCATCATATCAAAATGCCACTACGTAACTTGTACTAAGATAGAATGTTAGAAAGAGACACATTTTCTGTAGTTCATAGCAAAGTAGCTTTTAAACACAATATTTGATCGTTGAAAAAGTCGCGGAGGTATACCACAAGTATATTGGCGCACGAGCGCGGTGGATACGGAGGTCTGACGGTTTCCTGTTGGCGGCGCAGGGTAAGTACATAGAGCTCAATATGTCTTTAAACTTTAAAAATATCGGCTGTTTCCAAATTTTGTTCTCGTTTTTTTATTTGTGCATATCTTACAAGCAGAACTAAGGTGGCTTCTCCCTGTGGCTAACATGTATTTTCTCTGAACATTTAGATTAATGTTGGTGGATTCGTGACCGCTTTCTTTCTTTGGAAAGGCTAGCCTTTTGCTAACCGTTCCTAGTTTGTTCTGCAAATAATTATATATTTTGCTCTTATTAGTTTATTGTGTGAATGAATGTGCGTGTAAGATATCGCACCACTTTTACTATTATTATTTTACTCATAAAACATTGTTTTTAATGTTCAAATGCTGTTGCTTTCTACAAAATTATGCTATGTGATGCTTGTGGTGATGTCATCACTCTGCGACTAATAGTATGCATGTTTTGGGGTTTGGTACTTGTTAAATCGTGGGAAAACATAATCTTCCGATTTGTCGCCGATATGTTGGGCAAAGATCGAATATGATGAATAAATTCACCATACATAGAACCATAGATTTTTTTCATTGTCAGTGTTTCAAGTCTTTTATCTTGTCTTCAATTTGACAGCACATGAGAATATAGTGTTCTCACGGATCTGTGCAGGCTGCTGCCCAGTCTGTTCCTGGCACCACCATGGCCTTTGTACCAGCGCCCAGTCCCACTGTGGTCGATCAGACCACACTCATGAAGAAATACCTGCAATTTGTGGCAGCGCTCACCGATGCCAACACACGTAAGTTTAACCTCAATTTACATTGTGAGGGTTGGTTATTTTAGAATAAAATACTCCTTAATTTGTCGATATCCAGAACTATCTTTGTATTCATTTTCACTGTTTAGAATGATATTTGACTTGAAAAAAAGTTTTACCACAACACTTTCAGTATACTGGGGAATTTCAAAAGTTTCCCATATCACGCATCATGGTTGAAAATATGCATTAAGTTGTAAATTAAATGACAAATGAGGTTTAAGGGCTAGGTAACTTATATTTACAGCTCACAAAGAGCTCCACCTATTGTATTTGAATAATCAATGTAACCAGGAAGCCATTACAAGTTGTGGTCTTTGATCAGCATCAGTTTAGCAGTTCAGGCACTTTCCATAACTATTAAGTTGAGCTATGATTCTGCTTTTGTTCAACCGTTTTGGCCATGCTCTTAAGTTCCATGGGATTTTAAGTGTGGTAAAGGTTCAAGACAGAAAAAGTCATCAAGCTGCTTACAGTCTTAACAAATTCCTTACATATTTGTTATTAGACACCATTTTCTTTCTTTGCAACTTTTCATCGTAATTTTAGCGAAAATAACCAATGAGGCACCTGTGTTTGTCGTGGGCAATGTGATGAGGGCGATATGCTTTAGTCCAGTCAAAGGTACGAGTGTGTGAGAGAGTGCGTGGGTGTGGGTGTGAGTGTGTGTGTGTGTGTGTGTGTTGATGTACCTTTTGATTAAACTGGACGATGAAAGTAAAACTGATAAGATCTGACAGCCTCTGCCAAGCACACGGTGCCAGCCCTGGAAAGTGTGAATTGCATCCTTATAAAGTCCGATACTAACGGCAGCACTCCATCTTTTAACTTCCAGCGGATGAAACGAAGCTGAAGATGATGCAGGAGGTCAGCGAGAACTTTGAGGTGAGGTTGATGGATGCTTTCGGTTGGGTGGATTAAATTTCCCTGTCCCGGTTGTCAAACTGTGATGGATTAAAACATTTCAAATTTGATCATAAGAATGTACTGTGTGTTGTATATGGCCATCAAATATCTTGAACTTTTGTATTTCAGAATGTTACCTCTTCACCTCAGTACTCCACCTTCCTGGAACACATCATCCCTCGTTTCCTTACGTTCCTTCAAGATGGAGAGGTGCAGTTTCTTCAAGAAAAACCCACACAGGTATTTTCTAGTACTCCGTACTACTTTTTCCTGTTCTTGCACATTTAGCAAGTGTACAAGGAGAGATGAACACAGGCATGGGTTACAACAGAAAGACATGAACTTTGCTGTTCAATGTATGAATGCTAAGCCGGGATTCTGATTTGAAAACCTTATCTTTTCCTTCAGCAATTGAGGAAGTTAGTGCTGGAAATCATTCACCGCATCCCAGCGAATGAGCACCTTCGATCACACACCAAGAACATCTTGTCTGTGATGTTTCGCTTCCTGGAGGTACGATTACTGTTCTCCAACAATGCGGAATTTTTTGTTTATTTATTTTCTCTAAAAAAAAATTGAGAAAACAGTAGGAAGTCAATACATTTTGGAAGATAATGCTGGGTATTTACAAAGACTAAGGATAACTGGGGGTATGAATAAAGATTTTCTTAAATTTTTAATCATTGTTTTCATGATCTTTTTGTTTGTTTCTCAGATTGAAAGTGAAGAAAATGTACTTATTTGCCTTCGCATCATTATCGAACTTCACAAGCAGTTCCGCCCTCCAATCTCTCAGGAGGTGAGCTTCCTCATTTATTCAAATTATTCTTAAAAATTAATTTGAGTAAAGTTTAGTAAAAAATATTGAGCAAGAAATTAAACGGTGGAAAGAAGAAATACAAATAAAAACAATATGCTGTGTGAACGTGGTGTTTATGTGTACACGTATGTGAATGTTATCCCTTTCTCAGATTCACCACTTTCTGGACTTTGTGAAGCAGATTTACAAAGATCTTCCCAAAGTGGTGGTGAGTACAAATGAACAGCGTGTGGCTTTTCAGACTGTGCAAAAGACTGGTTTTACCTGCTCTTCTTTTCGTTCTTTGTCCTGATTTCTTTTCAGTTTATTCAGCTATGTTTTGTCTCTTCCCTCCAGTCCAGGTACTTTGAGAATCCACAGGTCATTGCAGAGAACACCGTTCCGTCACCGGAAATGGTGGGCATCATCACGTCTGTGTTGGTGAAGACTGCACCGGAGAGAGAAGACAGCGAAACCCGAACAGTGAGCCACTGATTAGTTTGAGACAGTTGTAGCTTTTCTCTCTCTCTTTTTTTTTTTTAGTACTGTCTGAAGCCACCAGAGGGTAGTAGTGTACTACTGAGACGAATAATATGCATATAGAACTAAATGGAAGACTGTAAACACAATTTTCTAATTTACATTGTCCTCTTTAGACTGTTATATTTAAGTGTAGTGATTTGATTCTCCTGTCATCCGTTTCTCCTTCTCATTTCCTCAAAGCACACCATCATCCCTCGGGGATCATTATCTCTCAAAGTGCTGGCAGAGCTCCCCATCATAGTGGTGCTGATGTATCAAGTGAGTATAATGCCTCTAGATATCTTTAAATGTTCCCATGGTTTCATACAAAACTGTGGAGCAGACTCTGCATTTTACCTTTTTTAAAAGTCAAATCTTTGGGAACTTTCATAAGAGAATATTAAATTGGGAGTGTTATTGTAAAATACTTCTCCTTATTACAAGTTAAAGTATACTTTCCCTTTGTTTCTATGCAGAATTAAACTTTCCTCCTTCGGTTGTGATGATTTCCTAACATTTCTGTTTTATCCTCTTAGCTGTACAAGCTGAATATTCACAACGTGGTGTCAGAGTTTGTACCCCTCATCATGAACACCATCATGCTCCAGGTGTCTCCTCAGGCCAGGTAAAGTGCCTCTGTTATTCATTTTAAATATGCCCCAGAAAGGAGTTTGCGCGTTTAAAAAAACATGAAAAAAACTATTTCTTTATTTACAGGTTTAAAGTGAGTTTATTTCTCCCATCTCCCTCTTTTGTACTTAATTTGGTGATAACACTGCATGATACCTTTGCTGCTAAAGCTGGTGTGAAAATTAATTTGGGGAAGGGTGAAGAATGCAGAAATTGTCTCAGCGGGATGACATTTCTGAGCACAAGAGGGCCGTTTTTGGCCAAAAGAAGTGGAGGGGAGTTGGTAAAAAACAAAACAAAACCCAAATCTGTCCCTGTAAGGTAGAGAGCTGTTGTTTTAGTTTAAATGAAAACTGTGACTTGGAACAAACAGGTCAGCCGCCACATGCCAACTCTCAAGTGCAACCTTTATGAAAGTATACAGCATTGTGATTCTCTTTCCAGGGATTTGAACATATAAAAAAAGTAATGTAATTGACTTTTTCTGTAGGCAACACAAACTTTATAACAAGGAGCTTTACGCTGATTTCATCGCTGCCCAAATCAAGACCCTGTCTTTTCTGGCTTACATCATTCGGATCTACCAGGTAACCCACGTTTATGCTTAATCAGTTAGCGAAAAAAAGTCAGATTTCCTATAATATAGTGTTGCTTTTCTTGACCTTGCCAGGACCTGGTGGGCAAGTACTCTCAACAGATGGTGAAGGGCATGCTGCAGCTGCTGACCAACTGCCCCCCCGAAACCGCTCATCTCCGCAAGGAGCTGCTCATCGCTGCCAAGCACATCCTCACCACAGACCTGCGCAGCCGTACGTACACGCAGGGGTGTCACACAAAAAAAAAAGACTTAACAGCCTTAACCGTCATCGGTCATGTGGCAGGAAAAAAACAAACGGATTCGGCTTTCGCAGTTCTAAAAGAACTCTTTCTCCGGCTGTCAGACGCCGGCTGTAGAATGTCATTTGCTGACAGAGATGAGAGATTGACTGAAACGGGGTAACAACCCGGCCGTCAAAAGCTGCTAAAAATGACCGGCAGTCACGGGTTCGGATCATTCTCGCCGGCAAACGGAGAAACGCCACGTTTTCAGTCTTATCCTGGTCCTGAGCTGTTTAAATGCTAATAGCGTCGAATCACTGGCTTGACACTAATACATGAGCACGCTTTTCACTGTTTGTCCTGTCATCCATCATCGTCTGTGTATCTCTCTCTCTGAACCTAACTCATTGGAATCACGCCACTGAATTTGTCTGCCTTTCAGAGTTTATCCCGTGCATGGACAAACTTTTTGATGAATCTATCCTGATCGGCTCTGGCTACACCGCCCGGGAGACTCTTAGGTAAGCTTTTCTGTATTTGTATGCTTCACCAACGCGTCCCTGCAGTGTCTGCAGAGGCTATCTCTCGCCGGTGATTTTCTCAAGCAGGTGCACAAGGTGTTAAGTGTCTTATCCTGTTAATTAGGAGCTTTTCCCCCGATTGCAGAAATTCTCAGGGAAACTGAGAACAACTCTGCAGCAGGCACCACACTGTCAGGTTGTCATGTACACCTGCATCTCCAGAGGGCAGGCTTCTCGCGTGTCCTCTCTCAGTTTGATTTCAAAACCTCCTTGGCCTCCCCCCCCCGCCCCAGCTGCCAAAGTAACTCACCTCATCAACAAAATAGCTGTCATTTCATGTTAGTACTAGAAGGGAAACAGGGGGGTTGGATGAGAGCTGGCAGGGCTATCAGTTTCACTCATTAGTTCACCTTCTCCCTCTCTTTCTTGCTCATGCCTTAACTTCTTTCTGCAAGTGTCAAACTTTAGTCTGCTTGATCACCATTTTCTCTGCCTGTGGGGAAACTTCCCATAACCTGCCCGCACGCGCTGTTATTTAGGAGTGACGCGTGATTATAATTCTGCTGCACTGTGTGTGTCTGACTTCCCCCCCCCAGACCCCTGGCCTACAGCACTCTGGCAGACCTGGTCCACCACGTTCGTCAGAACCTGCCCCTGACGGACCTGTCCCTCGCCGTGCAGCTCTTCGCCAAAAACATCGACGACGAGTCGCTCCCCAGTAACATCCAGACCATGTCTTGCAAGCTGCTCCTCAACCTGGTGGACTGCATCCGCTCCAAGTCGGAGCAGGAAAACGGGAACGGACGGGACATTCTGATGAGGATGCTGGAAGTAAGAGGCAACAGCCTTGGAGGAGAAAAAAACTAAATTCTTTTTATTAGAAGTGCTGATGTTTTTCTGCGTTTCCTCCATATAAAACAGGTGTTTGTGCTGAAATTCCACACCATCGCACGCTACCAGCTTGTGTCCATCTTCAAGAAATGCAAACCTCAGTCTGAAATGGGCGTGGTCGATCCGGGGGCGTTGCCCGGGGTACCGGCCACGCCCACTCCCTCCACCACCCCGGCCATTCCCCCACCAGCTCCCCCGACGCCCGTCGCCGCAGCACCAGCACCACCGGCCACGCCCTTCGACCGGCCCGGGGATAAGGAGGACAAACAGACCTTTCAGGTGTCGGACTGTCGCAGTCTAGTCAAGACGCTGGTGTGCGGAGTGAAGACGATCACGTGGGGCATCACCTCCTGCAAAGCTCCTGGAGGTGAGATGGATTGGCAGACATTTCTGTTTCTTTTTTTTTTCCCTTAAAGGAGAATTGTTATCTTATTAACACACTTAACCAGAGTCTTTTGTTCTTGTAGTAACACATTTCATTTCCCACTTTTATCTCCAGAGCCACAATTCATCCCCAACAAGCAACTCCAGCCAAAAGAGACCCAAATCTACATTAAACTGGTCAAATATGCCATGCAGGCCCTGGACATCTACCAGGTACAACCCAGATATTTGAATTGTGCAATAGTGAGAGGTGTTAACTTAAAGTAAGAGGGAATTCTTTGACTTAGTAAAATTAGTTCAAGTGAGGGAGACTTGACTTTTTAGTCTGACGTAATGGTTTCTACCAACACAGGTACAGGTGGCCAATAACCAGCAGACGTACATCAGAGTGGCCAATTGCCAGACCGTGCGCATGAAGGAGGAGAAGGAGGTTCTGGAGCACTTTGCGGGGGTTTTCACCATGATGAACCCACTCACATTCAAAGAGATCTTCCAGACCACTGTGCCGTACATGGTGGAGAGGATCTCCAAGAACTACGCACTGCAGGTAGGCTTGGGAAACCGGAGTTACTTAGGTGGAGATGCAGAACGGTTTGCTTTGTAACGAGGGCCATTTGTTGCTCTGTTGTGTTCTAGATTGTGGCGAATTCCTTCTTGGCTAACTTGTCAACGTCGGCTCTGTTCGCGACTATCTTGGTAGAGTATCTCCTTGAGAGGCTGCCAGAGATGGGCTCGAACGTTGAACTGTCAAACCTCTACCTCAAGCTCTTCAAATTAGTCTTTGGCTCTGTGTCGTTATTTGCTGCCGAGAATGAGCAGATGCTGAAGGTAATGAGCTTCAGAGCAATGGAACTGGAAATGATCCCCCAAAAATGTGTTTTTTTTGTTTATTTCCCCTTTTCGCTTATGAGGCCTTCATTCTTTTCTCAGCCGCACCTCCACAAGATAGTGAACAGCTCGATGGAGCTGGCCCAGTCTGCTAAGGAACCATACAACTACTTCCTGCTTCTTCGCGCCCTCTTTCGTTCCATCGGTGGAGGGAGCCATGACCTTCTTTACCAGGAGTTTCTGCCTCTTCTACCCAACCTGTTGCAGGGTAAAGCCTCATGCAACATTTTTCTCTCGAAGAGTGCTTGTTTGCTTGACAAATGTGAACAAGTGGATGCCAGCATTTTCTTCCCCTTTTATTTCCCCGTAGGTCTAAACATGCTGCAGAGTGGCCTGCACAAACAGCACATGAAGGACCTGTTTGTGGAGCTGTGTCTGACGGTGCCGGTGCGCCTCAGCTCCTTGCTGCCCTACCTGCCCATGTTAATGGATCCGCTGGTGTCTGCACTCAACGGCTCTCAGACCCTGGTCAGTCAGGGCCTTCGTACCCTGGAGCTGTGTGTGGACAACCTACAGCCAGACTTCCTCTACGACCATATTCAGCCCGTCAGGGCTGAACTCATGCAGGTGGGGAGTCGATTTCAATATGAAGCCATGACAGTGTGCTGTGTGCACATGAAAATCATTAAAAAAGAGGAAATAAGACAAGTAAATTCCAGTTTTAGTCAAATTTATTCAGCCAGTGCTGATGGACCATCTGCCCCCTTGTGGTAAATGTGGGGCACTGCAGGTGAGTAAATGTACAAGTGTTACTCAAAATGTAGGACTGTTGACCCTCCATACAATAGTTCTGTAATTCATCTGTGTACACTGAGTTCAGTCCGTGTACTCAGTAACCTAATCTTTAGGCTTTTTGCTTGATATATATATATATTTTTTCTCAGCAATGCAACGCCCTTTTATCAGTTCAGTAGTAAACTAACAGTAATTGCTAATAGGGTTTTTCCATCTTGTGCTGCAGGCCTTGTGGCGTACCCTCCGTAATCCAGCAGAGAGCATCTCCCATGTGGCTTACCGGGTGCTCGGGAAGTTTGGAGGCAGCAACAGAAAGATGCTGAAGGAGTCTCAGAGGCTGCATTATGTGGTTACGGAGGTCCAGGGGCCCAGCATCAAGGCTGAATTCACTGACTGCAAGGCATCTATACAACTTCCCATGGAGAAGGTATTGTGATATGGATATGTGGTCTTTTCTTTATCCAGCTGTTTGTTAATCAGAATGGTCTCGTGGTGGTTTCCCTTCAGAGTGTTTGACGCTACTTTCAAGACCCTTTATTCCCCTTTTGTTATTCCTTATGGAGTCTAGGGGAAGGAATTAATTCCAAAAGAGTTTGATATTCCTCATTATTGCTCTCCACTGAGAGCAATATATCTTTGTCACAAGTCGGTGTGTGCTCGTCAAAGTGAGCAAAGAGTTGTGTGTGTCCTCCAGGTAATTAAATTCATGTCTTGTTTCTCCTCCTCATCCCGAGTCAGTAATCATCAATCTAATGTGGGCCACCATGACGGCATTATTTACTCTCTCTAATGGTCGCTGCCTCTCTTTGGCTATCGGTCTGTGTGTGTGGCGTCATCATGGGCGTGGGCACAAACCTTTACATGCAGCACAGGCCGGAGGCATTAAAAGTCATGGAGCTGCCGTATGGTTAGTTTGGAAAGATGACTTAAAGTGTTCTAAGTTAGACAAGTGGATGACATCATGCTGATGTTGATGCCATTGAAGGTGGCAAAGAAAGCATGAACTTGTTTCCCTTTATCTCCTGTTATCTTAGGAATTGTATTGTTTGTAGCCATCATTGTTTTGCTTTTGGTCATGTAGCCATTGAAGAGTAAATGCAAATTGTGCATTTTATTCTGCTATTTCATTTGGATTTTAATTTTATTTATTTATTTGAGCTGGGGTGTTTGTTAAAGTCCTAATCCTGACGGAATTATAAAGCTGCTGTGAGAGGTCCACAATTCAATCACGCGATGCGCTCATCTGCTCTCATCCGCCCATAATTCTCTGGCTCATCCTTACTCTGTTCTGAGTGGCATTAATTAGTTCATTTTCTCCCTTTTAAGTGCTCGGCCGCTGTGGCTTGACAGCCCATAATGTAGAAATGATAATGACCTTTACTCTGCCAGATGGTGCTCCGTCCCTCTATGCAGTTACACACACACGCACACACACACATATATATGTGGAGTATATAGCTTATTTACCATATAAATAATTTACCAGTATTGGCACTTTGCATAAACAGTTGCTGTATCAAACAAGTGAGGATGTTGTACACTCTGTTTCTCTAAGGCAATAGAAACGGCTCTTGACTGCCTGAAGAGTGCCAACACGGAGCCTTACTACAGACGCCAGGCCTGGGAGGTCATTAAATGTTTCCTGGTGGCCATGACCAGCCTGGACGACAATAAACATGCTCTCTACCAGCTTCTGTCCCATCCCAAGTGAGTAAAGATTTAGGCTTTGATTTAACCATGGTGTGTGCTTCTGTATAAGGGTTTTTTATGGCATACCAACTTCTTATTGTTGATAAATTAATTTGCAGTGCCTGTGCTCACGCCCGTTACATGGTACGGCTCATTATGTATGTTCTGAGTTTTGTTTTTCGAGTTCAGCTCCTTGTACCTCGGCACAGGTGGGCTGTTTTTCTCACCATAATCACGTCGCCACTGGCGACTTCTGGCATATTATCTTGACAAACCGTGAACTACAGGATATGGGAGAGTGCTGCAATTCAATCTCAGTATGCATTTGTTTCCCGCGCTGAGTAGAAAAGCTCTATCGGATGGTGGCTGCAACTGAACAAAACCGAAGAATCTGCAGCTAACCCCCTTCTGTTTGTAACCACACTGGGCTTTTGTGCATACTCATTACCCCCAACTGTCCCTCTACCCGTTGACTTGCATTTCTCTCTGTCTTCCATGCCACGTCTTTATCACACATTTAGCTGCAAACTCCCTCTCTAGAGCGGGTATTACTGCTTATGCATTCGCGGGCCACCCACCTTCTGTCAGGCCTCACTGCAAGGCACAAACAAACACATGAACGAGCAAACAAGAATGGGGGTGTTTGTTGGGCGGGTTAGTCACATTACCATCATTGATCCCCGAGTAGGGGCTAATTGACTTTCCCCTGTCTGTTTACGCTACACTATGGCCCTTACACTCTCCTGTCATTATGCAGTAACACACTCTTGCGCGCGAATATGTTTTTGCACACATGGGGATAATGAGGTGTGTCAGTTATAATGAGGGGGGCCGTGTGCCTCCGCAGACTTCTCGATTTGCAGTATTTTTTTTTTTTTTCCCTCTTGAAAGGCTCGTCTGCTTCTTTGCTCCCTCTCCGTCCACCTCACATCTTCAAAGCATCTCTTTTTACCTCGATATTTTGTCATTTAGAAAATGGCGGAAAAGGTTTAAGATGCACAGAGCCATTCTTAAAATGCCAAATAAGCTGAGCTGAGTAATGTTGGAATGCCATGCCCCCCCCCCCCGAATAGATGAGGTGATATCGATCTGATCTTCAGTTGGTTGTACCTCTGGCTGCTCCCCACCACACAAACAGCCCACCTCCCCATAAACTTTGTCTTCTCTCTTCCAGTAAAGAGCTTTTTTCCCCCCTTCCTTTTGAAATTGCACTAATAAAATGAAGCTATCCATCAGGCCTGCTCTCGCCGTCCTGAATTATAAAACACAAGCTCAAGCATGGAGAAAACAGCTGCTCGATCACGCCAAAGTCCAGTTGCCTTCAGCAGCTGTAAATAATAAAAATACCAACAGAAGGGAAAAAAAGGAAGGCCACTAGGAGGAACCACAAAATGCAAAAACAAAGGGAACCAGAAGCAGTGGGCAGGGCCTGTTGTATTTTGAACGTTCTATAAACAGAATTGATTTATTTTTGTTTACCTAATTTTTTAACAGTAAAAATTCGTTTTTCATTCTGTTTTCTTTTTTTTCTCCCCACTAGCTTTGCTGAGAAGTGGATTCCTAATGTCATCATCTCTCACCGCTACAAAGCACAAGACACACCTGCCCGCAGAACTTTTGAACAGGCTTTAACTGGGGCATTCATGTCCGCTGTGATAAAGGACCTGAGGCCCAGCGCGCTGCCTTTCGTAGCCAGTCTCATTCGCCATTACACCATGGTGGCAGTGGCCCAGCAGTGTGGTGAGAAACCGGTGCTCTTCATACTCAGTAGATCTGTGTGTCTTTGACCTCCTCTGAGCATAAGTATTTTGCTTTTAATTCGACAAATGTGATATTTAAAGATTATATTGAATTAAAAAGAAAATGCTGAATTAAATGTCCTCAAAGCCAAACCCGTGCTTACATTGGTCTTTTTCTTTGTCCTCCTGCCAGGACCTTTCCTGCTGCCTTGCTACCAGCTTGGAAGCCAGCCAAGCACGGCCATGTTCCACAGCGAGGAGAACGGTTCAAAGGGCATGGACCCGCTGGTTCTCATCGACGCCATAGCCATCTGCATGGCCTATGAGGAGAAGGAGCTTTGTAAGATCGGGGAGGTGGCCCTGGCTGTCATCTTTGATGTGGCCAGCATCATACTGGGCTCCAAAGAGAGGGTAAATTGTGGCAAACGGGACCTTTTGTGGAGTTCTCTTCCGCAAACATTAGACAAATCTATTCTTTATTATTTGGTAAATGTGAATGCTCTTTAGTAATGTTGCTCTCTCCCGCTAGAGTTTAACCCTCTGAAAAACGACTTTTATTTACTTATGATTTAGCAAGCCGATGATATGATTCAGAACAATGCGTCTTTTTATTTTCAATTTGTACAGAGACCACTTTTAATAACTCTGTTGTCCACATCTGCAGGCGTGTCAGCTGCCCTTGTTCTCCTACATCGTCGAGCGTTTGTGCGCCTGCTGCTACGAGCAGGCCTGGTACGCCAAGCTCGGGGGTGTGGTGTCCATCAAATTTCTGATGGAGAGGCTGCCTCTGATCTGGGTGCTGCAGAACCAGCTCACATTTCTCAAAGCCCTGCTCTTTGTCATGATGGATCTCACAGGAGAGGTGAGCATTCCACTAATCCAGGCGCAATGTCATGGCTTAGAATTTCTCCGTAGATCTCGGTCCATTGCTGCGAAAACGCTGTATGTAGTAGCTCATTTGTATTCACGCAGGTGTCGAATGGGGCAGTGGCCATGGCAAAGACCACTCTGGAGCAGCTGCTGGTCCGCTGCGCCACTCCGCTGAAAGAAGAGGAAAAGACTGAAGAGCTGCTGGCTGCCCAGGACAAATCGTTTCACATGGTCACCCATGACCTGGTCCGGGAAGTCACCTCCCCCAACTCCACTGTCAGGAAACAGGCCATGCACTCCTTACAGGTGCTGGCACAGGTCACTGGCAAAAGTGTCACAGTCATCATGGAGCCACATAAAGAGGTCAAACCAGCTATTATTATTATTATTACTAAGATATATTTCCAGTGCCTGTTCTCATGTAATGGCACTAAAAAAGCGTATTTTCTACCTTGTTGTATTCTCCTCAGGTGTTACAAGATATGGTTCCTCCCAAGAAGCACCTTCTGCGCCACCAGCCCGCCAACGCTCAAATCGGTCTGATGGAGGGCAACACGTTCTGCACCACCCTGCAGCCCCGCCTCTTCACAATGGATCTCAACGTCATGGAGCACAAAGTCTTTTACACAGAGGTATCTCTTCTTTGTATTATCACACTGACGGTGGCTTCAGATGGAACTCGGGCTCAGTCCCTGTCTCAATGAGTCTTTCACTTGTTGGTTTTTGTATCATTGTATCTGACCTTTGTTTTTTCTTTCTCCCTTGTTTAGCTGTTGAACCTATGCGAAGCAGAGGATGCTGCTCTAATGAAACTCCCATGTTACAAGAGCCTTCCGTCCCTGGTTCCTCTGCGAATAGCAGCCCTCAGTAAGTGGGCCCATTTTTATTGCAGTGCTCAAAGAATTCAAGCACCATTTATTTTTCCTTTGAGCCAGCCTCTTTTTTTTTTTTTTTTATTCTATGTTTCACTGTTTGGGTTTTTTGTGCATGAATTGAAATAAATGGATAACTATTAGAGGTTTAGATTTAGTATAGGACTTATTTTTTGGTGGTTATTGTTCAGTATTGAGTCTTCTGTGTTTTGCACCTTTTTATTATTAGATGCCCTGGCTGCGTGCAACTACCTGCCACAGTCCAGAGAAAAGATCATCGCCGCCCTGTTCAAAGCCCTGAACTCCACCAACAATGAACTGCAAGAAGCGGGCGAGGCATGCATGAGGAAGGTCAGTCCGACATCAGCGTTTTTATCTCCTTTGGTTTTGTGAAAGCTTATTACTCCATCATTTTTCTTGCTACTTCTCAAATTTCTCATTCAACATAAACATTTATTTCTTTGTTGCATTCAAAACACTCTTATGTCTCTCTATGTAAGGATTTACACTGATGTAGAATTGTATAGGGTTTAATCTCACTGGCATAGAAAGCCCATTCTCATCACACGATCTGATCCAACTGCAACCTCAACTGAACTAAAGGCACTAACGAAGCCTTAGACCTGCAGACTTAACCTTTTGCAAATATGGATTGGTCTGTCCCCTCAAGGTATAAAGTAATATACGCAAGAAATTAGGTTGTGCCCTTTAAATCTTGTCCAAAGTGACATTTTCTACCTCCTGTGAAATGGCCTTGTATTTTGTCACCCTAGGCTTGCACCTCTTAATTTTTCTACAAGTCCAGTCTCTCATTATCTTGTTTTCAGTTGTTCTTTGTCATTTGCCTTCTTTGTTAGTCCTTCTTCTTATCATTACCCCCCCCCCATCCCACACACACACACGCACTTATATAAAAGCTATCTGAGCATCTTCTCATTCTCCCTAAACAAGCCCCCCCCTCTGTACGTCTACTCTAGGCTTTTTGTCCTTATTTTCAACTTTTCACCCACCGTCACTCCTCTTCACTATCTGGCGATAATTTTTTTTCTTCAATTTTTCTTTCCATTTTCTGTTCTCTCCATTCTTTCATCTCTGCCCTGCGAGCTCTAATGAGTGTTGCCATGGTTAGATCGATACAGGATGGAGTGCTTGTTCTCAGCGCTCAGAAGAAAATGAATGTGGCTGCCATCAGCCCCCCCCCCCCCCCCTTCCCACCCCCCACCCCACTTTCCAGTCCGTGCGTCATCAGTGCTTGCTGGGCATGTGTGTGTTTGTTTGCAGCCCCTCATGTTGTCATCCGAGTTGTCCGTAGCTCTTCAGTAGAGAGTGGAAACCCAAAGGGTGGATCATTTTAAGAGGAAAGAATGGTTAAAATAATAGAACTTGTATATATTTCCTAAAAAAAGAAAAGATCTGCCTTTTTTGTTTGTGCAATGTCCATCTTTGCGCTTGCACTAAAT